CTCGGCTCCTGGGATGGCTACCAAGGCCAACTTCCGCTTTCCAAGGACCCCAAGAAGTCTGGTGGCTGGGTCGGATGCTTCAAGTTCCAAGGACAGACTTTGAAGCAGGGACAGCGCTACTGGTACTACGTACGTCTATCCTCTTGCTGACTACGCTCCACTCCAAGGCTAACATCTTCCTAGTACATCATCGACGGTTACCACGTCTCCCACGACCCCGCCAAGGACCACACGACCGAACCCACCACTGGCCGCAAGCTCAACATCATCGACATTCCCGCTGCCAAGTCGAGCTCAAAGTCATCCTCATCCAGTGCCGACCGCAAGTCGCGCCGTGTATCCACCGCTTCCATCCCCAAGGGCCGTGGCCTCAGCCCAGAGCGCATCGTCGCACCCAAGCCCCAACGACCACACGAGACCCGCCAAGTCATCAACACGCAGTACGACAAGACCACCTTGGAGGAGCTCAACCGCCGCTTTGCCACCCAGAAGATCGAAGAGTCATCCGACGACTCCGAGTACAGCTCCGACGAAGACTCCGACGTTCCCTCACTCACCAGCCGCTCCACAAACAGCTCTAGCCCGTCCAGTATCAGCTCTGGAAGCTCATGCTGCACGTGCGAACGCTACGGCATCACCCGCGCTGGTGACCGTGTCAAGCTTGACTGTGGTGGTGCGCGCTGCGGATACTCAGACGACTCTTCCGAATGCTCCTCCGAGGACGAGTACGTGTACGAGGAGAAGACCACCCGCCGCCAGGGTGTCGTCATCCGCGCCTAAGCGCCTTCTTCTCTCCCCGCCTCTCCTGGACAGCCATTTGTCCCGTTCCTCCCTTCGCCACCTTGTGCGACAGGGAAAACACAACCAAACCCTCTTTCTTCTCTCCTGTGAATATTATGATAACGACTCTTTCTTTTCTCTTTCTTGTTCATCACCGTCGCAACCCTCTTTACTCCGAGGTTCGACTTTCCGCTCACTTATCCTAATGGACGCGCTTTTCTACGACGGACTTGGTTCTTCTATCCTTTTTTTCGCTGCTGTTTTCCCTACGTGGGGAAATATGTACGAGCACTCCTTTTTCCCTCACTTCATGGCTTATGATTTACCGACAAGCTTATCTTGTTTTCAACCGAACATCCTGTAACGACTCCCAGACCAGATGTTCAAAATGTGCCAATGCACGCTCCATGTAGATTTTAACTACTAGTTATGCCAATCTATGAATTCGCATGGGCCTCGTGCGCGGAAAATAATACTGCTCTCTCTTCTTGCTTGCAGAGTGATGTTTTGATCAGATGGCTTGGTACTGAATGCCTCTGGGATAACTATCAGGAGAGTCGCTTGCGTAAGACACTGCTCAAACGCGATGCCTCAAACTACCGTCTACACAGCTGTTCGTCACCACGACGATGAAGACAACATGGAATAGGGGTAATACCGTACACTCTCTCAAACACCAAGCGATGCATACCCATCCACACGCACTGGGGAAAAAAAAGTCCATCAAAACCCCCCTAGATGCCGAATCGCGACCACTACAACTCGCCCGCACATACTTAATAGATATTCCATCCCAACACCTCATCAAAAGCTCACAAACAACCCCGCCCTCCAACCCCACACCTAGACGCCCAACCAAAGGAGAAGAACCAAAAAAAATACACCATCACAAATCCTCGGGCATCTTTACTCTAAGAAAAGGAAAAGAAAAGCCCAAACGTACCTTCAACTTCATATCCCCTTCAAGAAAACTCCATCTCAACCCCCCCCCCCCTTCGCATACCATCTCACCGCCGTGTGATATACGAAACAAGGCAAAAACGCAGCATACGGCGGCTATCTCTTGTTTGTTTCTTACTTTGTGGAAGTATGATGATGCGTTTTCTAGAAGTATATGTAGCATGTATTTAGGTGACCAGCGGGAATATCTGCAACTTACGCGTGGTGCGGGAAGGGGAGAAAGATAGAGAGACAAGGGGGGTGGGGGTGAGGGTGTACGAGGTATATGAAGGGTATATATATATATATATTTTTTTGGCTCGCTTTGAAACATTGTGAGATAGACGTGATCTCGTGGATGAGCAAGGAAGATTTGGGAGAGACTTTGCGAGGTTGGTGGCGAAAAGGGGGCTTGTTGAGATGTGTATGTGGTCAGATGGTTTTGTTTTTTGGGTTGCAAAGAGGATTTTTGAGGGATGTGTCGGAGGGGGTAGGTTACGCGATTTTTCGGGAATATCTTCACTCCGATTGTGCGGCTGGACATGGAGTCTAGTGCGATGATGCTGTCCAGTGTCACTTGCTAGATGATTTACTTGGCGTTTTAGGGGGGGTTCATTTGCGATTGTAGGTATCTGGTTCATTTGAGGGATACAACGAACACCAAGGTAACAACCTCCACGCGAGCTCTAAGCGAGTCTTCAAGAGGTAACCAACCCCTCGGTAATATGGACAAAACTGGATGTCTTTCCTGAGGCGATAACGCATGTAATGCCACCAAGGATTTACCGCTTACTTCTTTACCAATCAGACTACAACGTTGGTGTTTTAGCGAGTTTTCTTGGAAGAACTAGTACAGCAAAGAGGACGAACTAGTGGTATTAAAAAGGAAGGCTACAAGGCCATAAGGCTGACCAGGCTGACACAGGGGCCCTTGCAGCTTTGGCTGCCGACGAGCTGGAGACGATACACTATGCCGGACCGTGGACCCGCAACCCGTCGTGCCGTGCCCTCTCCGGGAAATCGATTTGAGACCATCGGTTCAGGCCCACAACGTTGGTTGTGCTACTCGGTACCGACCGTTAGGATACTTCTCGGGGCCAGCTTGTACTATTACCAAATGCGGAAATGACATGCTTAGCCTTATACAGCGAGACTGTGGCAATATGAAATAGGAAAGCGATGGTTCATTAGAGCCTCAAGCCGGTCAAAGGTTCGTTGCCAGTAATTGGTTTGGACTTGAAGGCTGACAGGGAAGTGAACAGGGCCAGGCGGCCGGTCAGGAATCAAAAGGCAAGAGATATCGACATGTTGCGAGTTGCAGGGGCAGCGTGCTTTGAACAATGAGGCCTAAAATCCTGATTGGCGCGCAAAGATTGCAGTAACTGCAACATTCGAGGTCTAGCCAGCAGATGAGGGTAACAACGGGGTCCACCAACCATAAACTAGAAGGACTGGATGCCTAGTTCTTAAGCTATGACCTTGGAACAGCCACACTTGCCCTGCCCCTAAATATAGGAAGTCATGTGGCTACCTGGTCTTTCCAAGTGGTAGGCATGGCGTCGTTGTTGACAAAGAACGATATGGTTTTACCGCATCTTCGCGCTTTCGGAGATATGAGTCGACCGAAACTCTCAGCAGTAACGGAGCAACGCAAGGTTTGTAGATACGCTGTCAAGGCGAATGACATGTGCGCTTGCGTATACCTGTGCGTATGCGCCCAAGTTAGTCCTGGCGCCACAGCTAGCATGCGAGGACGTATGTAAGCCGAACGGCCGAGCCATGGAGATGCCGAAGGTCGTTCACCGGCAGATTCGGAAAAGGCCGAAGCGCGAGTAAACGGTCCAGTGGGGAGGGAACAAGGCCGCCATGTGGAGTAGCGAGATGTTTTACGTGATTTAGTAGAAACGTGGAGTGGGAAGTGGCGCTTCTCACACCGACGAAACGGGTGAGTGGTAAGGGTCTGGAAGGATGTTTGGTACGGGAAGAGGCGGTAACGTAGTACGTGCACGTGCCTCAAGGGTGGGCCTGCTTGGCCAAGATGACGTCTAGTGAACTTTCATGCGCCCTCCATGATACTTCAGTTGGATAACATCTGGTTAGTCTACAGCACATTCGCAACTTGGATCATCTAGAGCGTCAGAACTAGGCACGGAGAATTTTTCCGTTTGGGAATAGCGTGCTGCTATCCCGCGCAAGGCAGATTTGGGCGAGTTGTAGGAATAATGTAGCGGTATTGGAACGAACGGTATGATGCTAGTAGCGACAGTGACTAAGAAAGTGGAGTGGGTATATCGTCCATGATTCTCCTAGCGCCAGCCAGATGTTTGTGAAAAAAAAACGCCTCCAAATCCTCCTGATGTATCTTACACCCAATCCAAACGCCGACTGTCCATCATATTCATACATTTGACCTGTCATGATTATGCCATGACTGTAGATAACTCCGTACCGATGCATGCATTCCCGAGTGTACAGAGAGACGTAAAGTAACAGTGCTGTGGGAGTTGGCGCCGAGTGACCAGCTCGAGGAGGCCAAGGAGCCGAGCGCGTTGGTAGACGATATTTTTACAAGGATTTCCATGGCCGTTCTCGGGCCAATGTTAAGGTTACGTTGCTCTCTCATCGTAAGGGACCAAAAGAACATGAGCTGCTTCCGTAGCCAGAATCTAGATGACCGCCAGCATGGTAGGCAATGTTGGGTCGGTTGCTACTATGTGTATTGCAAGCGTAGCCTACAAGAACCGTCTTTTCCTGGACCATATGTCCTCGCTGTCCATGAGCAACACATGGATCGATGGCGTGTTTGTAATATAGACACCGGCAAACCGAGTAGCGTTCGACGACCTGATAGCACATTCTTGGGACCGTGCGTGGCGATGGATTCCTTTTGGCGTTTGAAATGGAAAGCAGCTTTTGAAGGAACGGCTTGAACGCAAGCAAAACAATAAAGATATTAGTGTTGAGGGCAAAACAGTGTTTGGATTGATTTGTGACTCGATCAGGCGATAGAGGCATATATAGCAAGATATAAGGCGACAATGTAGACTATGAGGGCAAAGTGTGGGTCATACTGCGGATGCATCGTCGACTTACTGCATGTCATGTCGGCTATGCAAACGGAAAGGACAGGGAGGGACAAGTGCGCAGTCAGCCGGAAAATGCTCCAACGGGATTCTCGACGGTAGCTAGCAAACCGTTCTGACCATTGGCTTGTCGGACTGGCAGGAAAGCCTGGGTGTTTGGATAGGGCAGGGGTTTGAGAGGTCGCCTGTTGGAGTCTTTCAGCTGGTGTTGACTGTGCGCCTCTGAACATCATTGGCCCGTGGCTGAGACCATGTGATGGACTCCGAATTGCTCAGCATTTCACCAAATGATGGCCAAGGAGCGCAGCAAAGCAGAAAGGTGGACAAGCGTCTACGGAGATAGTGATTGCACATGGGGGCGGCGGGAACCCCTGTCATGCACAGACCCTACTAGCCATCAAAGGGTAGCTTGCAGGGCCCCATCAAGCTGGTTCGTAGAGTGTCGACACTAGAATAACCATCTGTGCGTGACCTTGTATCTGACAGCCTGGACGGCCAGGGTCAGCTACATGTTTTGACATAGCGTGCTGGTCATGGGTGCGAACAGGAAGCCAGTGACGTAGACTGTCTAGTCGGATATGTCGCGCGCCATGAGCGGACGCCGGGCTGGTCGGCTGCGATTGATGTGTCCGGTGAAGCTAGGGATCACTTTTGAGGCCCATTGTGCGAGGGAGGCCGTCGTTCGCCCACGAACGTGGGTTGTCGAGGTTGGGGGTTTGAACGTCGTGCGTGGGCGCGGAAGAGAACCGGTTTGACGGCCGCCAAGGAGGCCGGCACCTACATGCTATGAGTGGGGGGGCATTACTAACGTACGTATGCCTATCTGGAGCTTCTGTCCTCTTCCAACCTTCGGGCCCATACCGACCATGGCCCGGTGCAAGTGCTTCGTCGATGCCATGCATACTACGTGATCAGTTCGCATTCTCTACGATACCACAGAATCTGTTCCTCTCCCACCATCCCCCCACGAAGTGCATGGACCTCTGATACCATCCAGAGCTTCGAGCTGATCAGCTGAGTGCTGCCTATAGGCTTGCGCATCTGCACATCAACGTACGTTGCGCATCCACATAGGCAGCACATCTATTTCAAGCGTCGAACATAGCGGCTCATCTCACTCTTTAGTTCGACATCGATTCATACTATCATTGAGTAAGTTTCTGTATTTGTCGTCTGGCGAACGGTATCATAAACACATGGGTGGCAGCCAGGTACACCGCTGGTAATGCCGTAGGTGGGCCTCTCGCCAACATCCCATCGCTTCGCCACAACTAGCACAACAGGCCGGTAATCCATCGCTGTTTGCCGATCGCTCCATCAAAACATCGGGAATCGTCTTAGGGCTGAAAGCACCGCCACCGCCGCAGTTCCGCCTGTGGGCAACATGCAGCCCTATGCACCATCCCGTCATCTGCCATCACGTGGTGGCGGTATGCCAGTCTCACGCAACACTGCCTACGTCGAAGCATACACGCCTATTGGCGATGTTCTTGTAGACGCCAGCCTACCTATTTTCTATACCTCGCCAAGGCAATTAAACCTTGCGGCCATCCTCGTCCGAGGATTAATCTACCTCTTTCAGAAGACATACTCTTATAGTCATCAGGGGCCTCAGCCTCCTTAGCTCCATTCCTAATAAAAGTACGGATGGACGAAGACGCTCCAAATGCGCTTGTACTGACCTAAGATTCGAGTCATGTTGATGGGTTTTTGACGCAAAAATATCGTATCAGTAGGGTCTGTTGGCTGAGACTCTTTAGTCAGCTTTTGAGTCACAATCAACTCGTGTCAGAGAAATGGGGAGCCGAAAAGTACGTCAATGTGTGGATATAAAACACAAAACAAAATGGCACCGCAACCTGCCCATAAAGTTTTGCCTATGTTGGCTATGAATCAGCAATGGCATCGGCAAGTGTTGGCTCTTGATTGGTTGTTGCAGTCTGCGAGATGCGTGCCGATTTACTGCTACTTACAAGCAAATATGCGGCATTCCCCCACACACACTATGGCCTTCACAACCTCCGAATGGTGGTTGGTTGCAGCGCCAATGTGGCAGATCATGCCAACACGATTACCAATACGCCAAGGCGCAAGACGCCACCCGAGATGACGATGCAGCAATAGAATTGTCGTATTCTTTTGTCAGGAAAGGCGTCCTATCACATTCCGACAACACCTACTCAATATTCAAAGAATACTTTCGAAACTAGGGTTCGCGACAAGTTACCCTAATCAGCACAATTACATACGGTACCTCAGGTCCAGGCAACTCTCCACTACGTCAGCTGACCTGCATAGTATGCAGGAAGCTCCGAGTGCAGTCTCTCTGGCTATGGCTAGAGGCCAGCGCACTTACAATTAGTAGCGAGGCGTACTCTCTCGGGTTGATTTCTCATACCGATACTGCACCGTTTTCCACTCACCGGAATCTGAGTAAAAATGTGGGCTTGCACGACTCGTACGACTATCGCCAACATCAGTGACCGATGAGTGTGCACACAGGCTTACGGGGATAGCTTGCAATGCACACCGCCTTTATTCAAGATCACCAGATTCACTCAACTCCCACTACGTCAGGAAAACAGCAAAGCTCGCATTTTTTCGACGTTGATAGTCACCGAATGCTAGCACGGCAATTTATCATTCATTACTCAACATGCGCAGCTCCTTCGCTTCCTATGTCCGTTTTATCCCCATCACTCTGGCTTCACCAACTCACTACAAGAAGCATCAAGCATTCTTCATTTCTTATCAAGGGAAGTTATAACAGAACGGCACCGTTACCTTTACGTCCAGGTTGCTGAGACAAGCATATTTTCTCCTCGCAATCGCCGATATCTCCTGACTCCCGAGACTATTCAGTAGAGTATCCATAGGGAATTTTGTCAGTCTCATCTTTCGAATTCGGACTTCAACATGTACATCCACACACAACCAACAAAGCAACACCCACACACGATTAGCAAAACGACCAGCAAAGCGAGAAATGAACAGGTCTCCCTTTATGACCAGTAACATACGACGGATCTCGTATGCATTGTTACCCGAGCACCAAAGAAAAGAAAAGTATAATATAACGTTCATTACTTGTTGTGCCCGTTGCTAAGAGCAGGTTTTTTTTTTGCTTTCAATTTTCCACAACCCCGAAATCACTGGAAACTCAATGTATACACTGCTACCCGATGCCGGTAAGTTGGGATGCCGCCTGCCAATCTTTTCTGAGATGATTGATATGACGCGCTGTATGGCAAACAGAGAGGAAAAAAAAGTCAAGTCGTACATAGGTATCATAACCACCAATCGGGAGGATGGCAGAATGATACAACTACTGGTGCCCAGAAAGATATTCGCATAACAAGTCTCGATGTGTTATTAGATTATGATCTTCACACCAAAAGAAAACACAAATTTGAGAGTGTTTGCATGAGTACTAATTGTATTCAAGAATAATCTAATCCCTCCACCGCATTAAACTAACCAAGAAGTAACAAGAGAACGCAGCATGAGGGTATAATTCAAGCCCATTTAACGGACCGCAGGTCCCATGGACCGACCAGTCGAGACCAAAAAAATCGTTTGGGGGGGGGGGGGGGGCAAACAAACGCGCCTATAGCGTTCAGAGAATCGTAACTTCGTTATAAAAGTACAGGAGGAGGTTGTCGGTCATGAAATGAAAGGAGAAAAAAACTAAAGAAAAGGCGACTGTCATGTCGAATTGACAGAATATCGAATTTACAGCATGACGCCAGCAACCACGAGCAGAGCAACGGCATAGTAGCCAGCAAGGTTGCCAACTGTCAAGCTAGCAGCCGCGCCCTCACCGCCAGGCGCCGTGGTACCATTGGGAAGAGTACCATTGAGGACGAGGGTCTTAGTGCCGTTGACATCGGAAACAGTAATCAGCGACTTGTTGAGCGCAGCGTAGCTACCATTGCCAACCAGATCATCCAGGTACTGCTGGTCGTCGTTCTCGTCGCAACCGCAAACGCTGAACTCCTGGCAGAGACACATAACAGGTAGTGTCTCGTTACGGCCCTGTGTCTGGCGGGTCCAGAGAGATCTCTTCCTGTCGTTGTCGTCATCGGTAGCGGACTGGTTGTAGAAGCGGTATGGGTTGCTGTAGTAGTATGGGTAGACGCTGTAGAGCCAGAGACCGGGCATGATGAGGAGGATTGCTGCGGGTGCGAGCAAGAGACCAGGTGAAAGACCCCTGGGGGTCCTTCCTCCCGCGGAATAAGGTACGGCTGCACCGCCGCCGTAGTATCGTCCTCCGCCGAATGAGCGTGATGGGCCTGAGCCTGCTCTTGTGGAGCCACCGGTGTTGGATGTGGGAGAGGTTCGTCCGCTGCTACCGCTGCCACTGCTGCTACTACTGCCACCTCGGCCTCCGCTGCTACTGCTGCCACTGCCACTGCTGCCTCCACTGCTGCCTCCGCCGCGTCCACCGCCGCCCTTGCGACGCTCTAGCGTGTGGTCTGGAGAGACGACTTCCGATGCAGGAACGACGCGGCGCTCTTCGAGGACGTTGAGCGCATTGCTAAATTCAGGTATCGAAGCAGCGCTGACTGCTTGCGATGCCAATAGGTAGGCGAGAAACTGTGAGGCCTTCATGATGAGGTCGATGTGGGACTGTGGTACGGAGGTGGCGGCGTGTGTAATGTGCGACACTAAGATGCCAGGCCGGAGTATTTAGAGCAAGGGTGCCAAGACTACCAAACAGGTAGGTAGTGATATAGAGCAAGGTATAGAGGCTTGCTGCTTGATGTTTGTGTCGGAGTTTGGGACACGGGAAGAGGAAAGGGATAGTTTAAGTTAGGTATATACGTGAATGGGGCAAAGGCAAAGAGGGAAGCGTTGTTCTTTAATGTAAGGTAGACAAGGGAGGCAGACCCTGGAGAATGGAAGGCGTGCCTGTGCGTCATAAAGGATGAAGTCAACTCTGTTCCGCGCCACCTTGTCTAGCCGTCCTTGGCAGGCGATTTTGGTGTGAATGCCTGACTTGTCGTGGCAATGGATGTCGCCAATCTCCAGGCTAATTTCACTCGCGTTGCCTGTGCTGATGAGCTGTGCAAATTGGCCTTTGGGACCTAAGGCACAAAAGGGCCAGAATAAGGCCGCAAGCGAGCTGAACAGCTGCGCAGCCTTGCTGCAAAAAAAGCTTGGGTAAATGGACATAGACATTCTGCAAAGCGGTTTGGGACCCATGCCCAAATGTATACATGCGTGTTTCCCCAGCCGTTTGCAGCCTTACTGTGTATACTGACGCAGGCAATACGTGATGCACCGAACAAAATCTAGGGTCTGGCATGACCTCATGTTGATCCATCTCAACGCCAAGACGACACTTCAACCCGAACCGTGTGGCCAAAACACTATCACCGCGCAGCAGCCAACAAATCACGGCTGCCAGCTCAGGCGCATTTGTGTCACTGCGCCTCCATGTCTTTGTGCTGGTCGGTAGATACGACAGTCTCCGCCCATCAATCAGCGCCATTCCTGTGCAAAGATGCGCGGGGCGTACCGCGGGGTGACCTCATCCAGTGCGCCGAGAGAATCTCAATCTGCCGATGAGCGGTGTCGTCGTTGGTGTCGCTTGGCACGTTGTGTTTAAGCACTGCTAGGCAATCACGGGAGCACGCAGGGCGCCCGACGCTAAGCGACACTCGATCGCTGTGACCATACCATTGACTTTTTTTGTATATCAACTCGTCTATCTCTTGGTCGCCTGTTTTTTGGGGAGACTGTGACGCAACTTCAAGTTGCTTAACGTTGCACAAAGTTGTCTTGAAGCACCCGAACAAACGATGCAGCCTGTTGATTGACAATTGGTATAGCGCTTTATGCCGAGCTTTGCCTTGTGTCCCCTCGCCTAAGCGTGTCTTCCACGATGTTGGCTTTATAAACCAGTGCGAGGCTATGCTGACTCCGGTCCAATGCGCTGGATCGAAGGGTGGCGCAGTCAGGGTGCAAGGCGGGGGCTGCTGCAGCCACATGGTGTTCAGTCATGGATTGGATTAGAGTGGAGTGGAGTGGTGGCAGTACAGTAAAGTGACCATGTGAAGCATCATCGCCCGGGTCCTTGGTCTGGCCGTGGTTCAGGCCCTCCGCCATCTGATACCGTCTGGTATTTTCTGTATTCTTGTTCGAGTTCTCGCTGCATCTCAAAGTCGGCCTGACGTTCGCGCTTGATTCTTTGTTGCTCAAAGTCTCGCACAACACCCATGTGCATGGCCTGATTGATCCGTGTTAGAATTGATTCCCATGCTGCATCCGGATGCGGGCAGTACTGACTGCTTTGTCGGCCTTTTGCGACCAATGCACGAATGCGACAATGCCAACTGCAGTGACGCATGTGGTCGCCAATGTGATCTGCGATGCCCGGGACATTGTAGGGACCGTCGAGTTGTGAGCAGGTTGAGGTCGAAGGCACTTTTTTGAAATTCTCAAAAGTTGCAAAGGAAACCTGAGGCGGCAAGGAGCTTGGACCACAAATGCAGCGTCCGCCAAGCTCGCCGGCTGCATCATGCCTCTCCGCAACTCTACCTTGACATAACCACCAACTCCGCAAAACAAATACTCAAGATGGTGAGCTAGCCAGGGCGCGCAATATTTCGGAAGATGCTGACCTCTATAGTCCGCCCAAAACTCTGCGGGTATCCAGACCCTGCTCGATGTAAGCCGGCGCAGCCCACTATCACCTCCACCATAGCTTACATGGTACATAGGCCGAGCGTGAAGCTCAGAAGATCGTCCAGCAAGGTATGTCGTTTTCACAAACAGCTTTCAAGAGCAATCGCTGACATCAGAATAGCAAGAGAATGTAAATCAGACTGCATACATCCCACCAAGGCACCGCTCTAACCAGCCTAGACCGCACCAAGCGCGTAAAGGACGCTCGAAACGAAGCGCAAAAGGAAATCGACGACTACAGGAACGAGAAGGAGGCTGAGTACCAGAAGTTTGAGAAGGAGGTACGCGGTCGAGTCATATCGATATGTATGGGACATTCAGAATGCTGACAATAGTGCAGCACAGCTCAGGCAACCAAAAGGCCGAGGAGGACGCAAAGAAGGACACCGATGCCAAGATCAAGGAGATTGAGGAGATTGGCAACAAGTCGGGCGGAACGGTAGTTGACCAGTTGATTGAGGCCGTCATCAGCGCACACCCAGAGCCACCAAAGAAATAAGGACGGGTAGAGGCGGGCAGTCCTTCGGAGATGCAAGTGGGCAATCAAGAGCATCTATTGTCAAAGAGTCAAGCACTTTGAGTAGCGTACCAAGCGGTGTTTCCTGCACAACACCTTGTAGCGCCAAGGTTCAACTACACTTTCCAGTTTCTATGCAATATACGAGACACTACGAGAACAGTCCCAATGTGTACCAAGTGAAGTGCATAGGTTCGCCGTGATTACATCAGCAGCGCCTTTTGTGTTTGGTTATCTGCGAGTACCAGTAGCCTGGATCCGATGACCCAGTTCCCAGATCCATGACCGCATTTAGAACACAAAACCCTCGCATACGTTTGATAGGCATATCACTTCCAAAGGAAATATGCAAGATCCCAAAACCCATCAATACAGTTTACATGTTCAACTATGAGCTTCTCTATGCTGTCACGGACCCTGGCCCACGTTCGCTAATATGCCTACGTCATACATGGAGTGCAACCTCAAACTTCAACGCGTCTCATCATTGCCACTCAACACGCTGTATGATCCGATGATTGGAATATGTGTTCGAGCGACTTTGCGCTCTCCTGCACCCAGGCCGCTGCATATCCTTGCTAAACCAACATATGCGTATTGCCGCCAGTTCAGTAGCTCGCAATTGCGCAAAGAAGATCCGCGCATACCCGGTGCTGGTCGCGAAATCGTAGATGAGTTTGCTGTGCTGCGCGAAAAATATGGTAATTCCACACAAACCGATCGCCAGCACAAGGGCTAGCAGCTAATGCCGTCTAGATGCCCCCGTATGCATGCAGATCTACCCTGCACCATCTCTTCTGACCCTAGCAGAAAAATACTATAGTCCTTGCCCATGGCCTGCTGGGATTTGATGAACTGCGCCTAGCAGGACAATTCATACCGGGCATCCAGTACTGGCGAGGTATTACCGATGCGCTGGCAAAAAAAGGCATTGAGGTTATTGTTGCCGCCGTCCCACCAAGCGGAAGTATAGAGAACAGATCGGCGAAGCTAGCAGAGAGCATCGCACTCAAAGCCAAGGGGAAGCAAGTTAATATCATTGCGTAAGTGAAAAGTCTAGATCAAGACTCTGATGGATATGTTGCTAACACATGGCAGGCATAGCATGGTATGAGGCATGAAACAATTGATATGGTATTTGATAACTGACGTTTGGCTAGGGGTAACAACATTCATCCTTGGACAGGAAGAATATGCTAAGCTGCAATAGAGGACTCGATTCGCGGTACATGATTAGCCGTCTTCGGCCGACGGATTTCAAGATCCTCTCCTTGACCACTATAGCAACACCCCATCGGGGCTCAGCATTCGCAGACTACATGTTTGAGACCATCGGTCGTATGTATATGAACGCTCCTTGAAGCCATGCACTGACTTGACTAGCTCGCCAAATCAAACGTATCTACAAGGCTATGGAGTACTTTGGATTTGAGACTGGAGCGTTCTCGCAGCTTACACGGGAATATATGAAGACGAGTTTCAACCCTAGGACTCCAGACATACCTGATGTCAAGTATTATTCGTATGGTGCATCCTTGGAGCCCAGCCGGTGGTCCATATTCGCACCATCACACGCAATTATGAAGCCCATCGAAGGTGTAAATGACGGATTGGTCAGGTATGTCTAGACAGACTTGAGCATGTCTATGGGAAAACGGCTAAGCAATTGCAAAGTGTAGAATCAAGCAGATGGGGTGACTACAAAGGCACGTTGATTGGTGTGAGCCATCTGGACTTGATCAATTGGACGAACCGTTTAAAGTGGTTCTTTTGGGAGCTTACTGGCAGCAAGCGCAAGTATGCACAACCGAGTTTGTCTTTGGTTTGAGGTGAAGCTGACCATGCTCTAGCTTCAACGCCATTGCATTCTATCTTGACATCTGCGGTAGGCAGTTCATACTCGGATCATCATAAGGCTCTTGCTAATACTCTTTAGATATGCTAGCAAAGGAAGACTTGTAATCACTTGATACAACAGCATGCAGACGGAATGCCGTCAGCTGATCGGCACGATTCAGGAAAGATAGCTATGGCTGTTTTGTTTGCACAAGTCGAAATCGTTGGACAGCTTGAAATCTGATGTTCCGAAAGAACAAACCTCGTCCTACCCTCGCGGGATCAGCCGCAAACGGGTCCCTTGCTGCGCCGGAATACGATATTGCAATCGGACAGGGGTGCTGTCTTCCGCCGGAACTGCGGCTGTAGATGAGGCTGTGTAATACTGCAAGTCATCCGCCATAGGAAAATGGTATCTCGAGAGACGCGCATGTGTTAAGGATGAAGAAATGGGGAGCAGGCAAGACATATGATGAATAATTGATATATCTAGTGATTTACCATTGCCGTGGTGTTGTGGCTGCAGAGGTCACGCCATGACGTCTGCGGGGGAGGCTGCCAAAAGAACCCCCGCAGGCATCCGTTTTGCGACATATTTCAGGCTGTGATCACAAACGCCCTCAAGACATGACACGCGTAATTCGGGCTTAGCTGCTGCATCAGAAATGTCGCCAACGCACTTGACTTGGCTTGCACTCCACCAGTCTAGTTTCTGATCTTGACATGTTGCTCCTGTCCCCATAAAGTTTGCGACTTGCTTCCCACCGCACCATCACGACACGTTGAAGCCTGACCCGAGGGAATCATCCTAACAACCCTGGTCAGCAGCGTACCTCCGCCCAACATGATTGTCAACATCGTGCTGGAGCACCCGCACGATCACTACACCAATCTCGATGTCATACAAGGCAAGGTCGCGTTGCGCGTGCCGAATCCGACAAACCTCAGCAGCATCATCGTCAAGCTAGAAGGCGAGAGCAGGACCCGGTTGCTAGCGCCCGTACATCCAAACAGACCCGACAAGCAGAGGCCAGTTTTGGAGATACACAAGTTCCTATACCAGACGCTGTTGGTATGGCCAACAAATGTGCGACCGGAAGATATCAACCCCAAATCATCTTTTACCATCAATGCTGGCGTATATGAATATCCCTTCCAATTCAAGGTGCGAAGATGAATGCATGCCCCATGGCCCAATGTCAGTCATGCAAAGAGCTAACCCTGGTTGCAGCTCCCTATGAACACGCAATGTCAGCAAACAAACAATCCAATCTCGACGGTTTCTTTTTCGAACACAATTCCCGAGTTCGCAAAAACAGCAACCCAGCACATCAAGGCTACACTGCCGCCCACTTTGAGTGGCTTCCCTGGCGAGGCGGAGATACGTTACTTTGTCAAGGTGACAGTCAGTAGGCCGTCGCTCTTCAAGGAGAACCCCCGTGCAATTGCAAATTTTACGTTTCTTCCGATTGAACCACCACGGCCAGAGCGGACAGACGGCGAGGCATATGCAAGAAGGCAGCATGAGTTCTTGGAGAATGCCGTGAGCGTAGCGGCAAGCAAGATGCCTAGCTTCCTGGACCGTAAGAGTTCTTCGGCAAGCATGCGGTCTGCACAGCCGCCGGGCAATATGGGGCCACGCGTAGCACTTGATGCGCGGCTGCCAAACCCTGCAATTCTTACCATCAATCAAGACCTTCCGTTGCGAGTGCTTATCAAGAATGTTAGCCCCCGCAGCAAGAACATATATCTGCAAATGCTGCAGGTTGAGCTGATTGGATACACGAGAGTAAAAGCACATGAAGTGACGCGTACCGAGTCGAACAGCTGGATATTGTGCTCTTTCAGCAACATGGCGATACCGCTTGGGTCGCCAACAGACGCAATAGACACTGAAGTTCCAATCAATTCCGAGTACTGGTCTGGCAAGCCGGTGCCCAATACAGTATCACCCAGCTTCACCACGTGCAATCTGTCTCGCTTCTACGAGTTGGAAATTCGAGTTGGTCTTGGCTATGGGAGCTACAAGCATGGAGAGGACCAATTGATTGTGTTGCCGCTTCGATTGCCAGTCAAGGTGTTTTCGGGCATTGCGCCTCCAAAGGCATTGCTCGAGGCTGGGTTCAATGCACAAGCAGCCGGGAAGCCGGCCACACTTAGTATTCCGCAGTACGGACAGGCTCCGCATACTCCCCCCTCGCCACAAGTGGGCTTTGCCAACAGCAATGCGTTTGCCGGCCAACCTGTACACGCTCAAAATGCGCCGTCGTACGAGGATGCACCGCCGAGCTACGAGGACGCAGTTGGACAGGACCTTCCGCCCATCAATGGGTATCGAGGTAGTTACCAACCACCTCCGGTGCCCGAGGGCGGGTCTGGATTCGCGGACGAAAAGAGACGATGAGAGGGGGGGGGGGTCTGGTCAGTGGGCAGAACAGGGGAGAGTCCGGCCGCGGATCGACAGTGCAGCAGTTCTAGAGAGCCATACAATAGCCAGGAAGATGCTTGGGCCGTGACAGAGGTCTCGAGCGCGTGCGGAAAGCGGAAGCAAGAGTGGGGACATGCAAGAGGGTGGGAAGGAGGTGATGTTTTGGCTTTTGTATCCAATAATTATTCTTGTTCATGGCACTGTGGAAACATGGGGGAGGAAGTGGAGCAGAATGAAACAGTATCTTTATTTGGCGAGGTGCATGTCGAGGCTGGTGTCCAATCATGAGGGTGCCGTGTTTGATTCTTTTTGCAGACGGGACGACCCCCTTGGAAGGGTGCGGGGTACGTGTGAATGGGTGTGGCCGGTGAGGCTACTGTATGCTACTATGTGGATGGCACCGTCGCATGGCGGCACGAAGCCACTATGCACGGGAGGCATTTACGCGATGTTGTTGTGTTGTGATGTGTGTGTTGTTTTGAGCCAAGAAGACGAATGCTGTGTTGTAACAACAACAGCGATTGACAGGGCGAGCTGGCGGGGTCATGTGACGTGTGTTGGCCAGACTGGCGGCCACGAGACGGGCGTGGTGTTGACACTGCAACTGCTGCGCACGCCACATGGCCCCTCGGCCTCGTCTCGCGCCTTGTCGGCTAGCAATCGATAACGTCGCATACCACGTTTCTGACGGGCCCGCTCCGTGAAACAAAGGCGAATAGTCTTCCTAAACGGTGTTTATTGTTGTGCTGTTTGGTCGAATCGCGTTTCTCCAGGACAACATGCAGGTCACTAACAGAGCCGACCCGACGCGTCGTGCCTGGCTTGTCAACGGGCTAGCAGGCCTACACGCGCACTGGAGGACTGACGGCCAGTCACAGATGCCCAGCCACCGCTTCTTCGACATGGCCGCCAACACCATGCACGACTACTGCAAGTGCTCCATGCATCGTCTCTTGCGCCTCTTGCGCCCATTGGCTGCCCGGCTCCGTTTGTTTCAAGCCCGGCCTTGGCTGCAGGTCCACTCGACCACTTGGTCGAATCGTCGCGTCAAACACCATATATACACGTCCTCGCACCGCGACATAGTCGTGTTTTCGCATCTATTCTGCGCCTGCTCTGCCTTAACTCCTGGAACTCTGCTGGCAACCGTGCTGGCCACTGCAGGAAACCATCTTTGACTCACACTTGCATGCCCGCGTGTAGCGTGGATCCCCGCCCCGCTTTTTACACCATGGCCGCAGAAGGTAAATACCGTTTCGACCAAGGCCATGGCCGTTTACCTTCGCCTTGTTACCTGAGGAACTTTTAACTTTTTTTCCCTGCCTTGCTTGAATGCTGGATGTTTGACACGACTCTCACAATATTCTTAAAATTCACTACGAGATTGATTCCCTGACGAATCTATACCCAATCTGCATCCAATCCATACCCGCTTTTGCATGCCACACCAGTTACTATACCCAAAATGTACTCACAGCGACGAACACCCCCGCCGCTGAAACGATCGAATTCGGGAACAAGCCATAACAGCCATGGAAGCCATGGCAGCGCTGCCACTACCGTGTCGCGATCGAGCTCCAAGCTGCTATTTGGTGAAATCCCACTTAGCCCTGTGACGAGCGCTGATGGAAGATGTAAGCAGGCCTTTGCCGTGACCATGCACTCATATATTAATTGAACCAAAGCAATCCCATCCAATGGCTCCATCTGCAACCTGGTGCTCTCTACGAGCTCCGTCTTCTTGCGCTTCTGGCTGAACGATGACTGTCGCGAAAATGTACTTAGCCGCGTCGAGTCTGAAGACCTGGCCAACTTGCGCCTTGTATGCCACGACTTCTCATCAAAGGCCGCACCGCGACTCTTTGAAAAGATGACTGTGACGTTCAAGACCTCTACTTTTACCAAGCCTGCGCGCATGGAGGCGCTTTCAAGGATAGGTCGCCATGTCAAGACCTTTACCTTTTACATGCCCCATACCCCAGAGACTTGCCTGCCACCCATCATCGACCCATTGACTGGCACAGAGAAGCAGTTCCTCTATGAGCCCCAAGTTCAAGTCCCTCAGTGTGGTCCAGCCAAGGACAAGGCACCCAAGTACGGCAGCTGGGAGATGCAAGATCTGCTCATCAAGCAGTACCCGCCACTGTTCCATGCGGCTACTAACGTCCCTGCCTTTTGCGCTGCCTTTTCCGAACTCATTAACCTCACTCATCTCAAAGTCTCGTGCCCAGGATCTTCCGGTGCGCATAGACATCGCCGTGGTGTTGTAGATTACGCGCTCATCTCCCTTCGCATTGCCATTGAGCGCGCACCACTATACAGCCTGTCTGCCCTGTCACTTCTTCCCATCCACCCAGGCGGCCTACTCTACCTCCATCCCATGCATGGATTAGGTAGCACACCATCATCCGCCAAGCGCTGGCGACAAATCCGCCGACTCTCCATCTGCATGGAGAGCGTGCCCTTTGCATCATCATCCCTCCGAACCCGCACTCAATCCCTAGAGCACCTCCGCATCCTCCATGCCTACCTCGCGACCCTCTCGCGCAACCTAACCCGCGTCTTCTTCCGCTGGAAAGGCGCCCGCGGCCCCTCACCCTTATCCCTCGACCTCGAGCCCTGCATGCTCCCTGCCCAAGACCAAAGCACCCAGCACCCTTCCCTCCGCACCCTCCCCCACGGCCCGCGCCCTCTCACCTTCCCCCGCCTACGCATCATGGAGCTCGAAAACGCCATCATGGACTCGTACCAAATCACCGACTTCATCCTCAAACACAACGCTACCCTGCGCGAATTCAACTTTGAAGACGTCAAGCTCCGCGAAGGCGACTGGGACATTGCTCTCGAGCCCCTAACTTGGATCTCCGGCAGCGACAGCTGGAAGCAGTACAAAGACGAAGTCATGGATGTCCCGATTATGCTGTCGCCTGTCGAGATTGCGGCGCCGCCGCTTGCGTCGCCGCCTGAACCCAGGATTATGGGGCCGCTGATGCAGGAGGTTGAGAGTGCGATTGAGATGGCGAGGGGGAGGGAGAGGAGGGAACATGCGCTTTCGAGGTGGTTGGGGAGACCGAGGCAGAAGAGTGGGATGGCGCCTGGTAATAACAAGGATAGCTTTTGGGGTGGGAGTAAGAAGTTGTTGCATCTTTCGGGGTGGAAGCAGGGCGGTGGTGCGGTTATGGCGTGTTGATGATGGTTGGTATATCCCTCTATCTCCTCTTTCGTTCTCTTTCTCTTTTTCTTGTCATGACTCTCGCCTCTCTCTTACTCTGGTCTACTGACCTGTCCTATCGTTTTTAGATTTTCCTTTGTTATTTGTTTCTTTTTGCTCTGTTGGTTTGTTGACGCGCGCATATGTCTAGATGATGACGATGACGATGATGGTACTTTACGACTATCCATGTGCTTACGATTTCATGGTTGCGTAAAAGATCTGTCAATACATATATTACGATTATTGAATAGAACAATCTCTTCTTTATCCTTCTGTACCATGTCTTGATGTCGTTCCCAAACTTAAAATCACTCGCATATGTCGTGTAGAAGGCACTTACTCAATGTAGCTTAGCGCGAATAGTAGATTGGCAGGACCTTACTGAGAGCTCCTTGATCAAGGTTCCAATACACTTTCTACAACATGTACACCCTGCACCTTGCCATGCAAATAATGGCAAGAGATGCGAGGCATTCTTACTGGACCCCCAAACACAGTTAGCGCTCCCGGACCCGCATCCACGTGCTCAGCCCCAAAGCGGCAATGCCTCGGCATTGATCATATGAAGTCCCACGGGGTCTTGGCTGATCGCATTCACATGCTTGAGGTCATTTCCCCGGATTCATGGCTTGCGGACAATCACATCATCCCTCCCACAAGCTTCCAGACGCCTTTATATACTCGTTGTCCCCGTGCCCCCTTTGCACTTCTCCACACACTCCCAACTCGCTTTCTGTACGCCCACCCATCAACATTTGCAACAACTAGCCTGGAGCTTCTGTAAACACAACGTAACATTGCGCATTCACACACACACACACACTCTCACACGCATCGCATACACATAGCCATCATGTCTCTCAAGAACGGTACGAAAAACATCCACATCCCACGCACCATCATCATCAGCACACCCAACTAACCCTCCCTAGACGCCTTCCCCGCCTCCATCGCCTTCGACCACATCGCCAGCGCGCTTTCAACCGAAGCCGCGCGCAAAGAAGCCATCAAAACCGGCGGCGCCATCTTCTCCTTCAACCTCAAGAACAAAGCCGGCGAGCAAGCACAATGGTACCTTGACCTCAAGGAAAGCGGCAGCGTCGGCACTGGCGCCGCACCCTCAGGCAAGAAAGCCGACGTCACACTTACCCTTCCTGAGGAGGAGTTTGGCAAGTTGGTTGTTGGCAAGGCGAATGCGCAGAAGCTGTTTATGAGTGGGAAGCTCAAGGTCAAGGGCAATGTGATGAAGGCGACGAAGCTGGAGGCGGTGCTGAAGAAGGCCAATGTTGGGGATGCGAAGGCGAAGTTGTAAATGGATGTGTGCGAATTTTATTTACTTGACAGCAGATGTATTTGTATATCTCATCGAATAGCATTGCCTTCAAAAGGCGACTGCGGCCCAACTACAGCCTTGCTTGTGAATGTGGATACATCTTTTTTGCTTGTTCACATGCACCTCACGTCTCATGTGACACTAGGTACACTTTTAAACCTATGCAGGGCCAGGCCCTTATACAAGCTAAAGCATGCTTACTTTTGATTGATCGACCCTTTGCATCCGGTCACGACAGCGCGATGCCAAGCCTTCACGTGAAGACGCGCTTGCACGCGTTCCAGCTGCACGCGTTCCTTCGCTTCTATCCTCAACTAACCGCATAATCTCTTTACAACTCACCCTTGTCTCGCGCGCTATCGCAATGAAGAATGATCTCCAGAAGACCTTCGGCGAAATTTTTAATAACGATATTGACGCGTTCCGTAATCAACTTTTAGAGATCCAAAAATATCAATGTGACCGAAAGGAGTCTGAAAAGTGGGTAGAAAACCTGCGCTTCCTCGACATATCAAAAGTTCCAGACTTGCAAACCGAACGGTTAAAGCAGGAACGTCTTTGTTCTCGGTCAGAAAAGAAAGATCCGCTCTTTGAAAGAATACCACCATCCTGCGATGTTCCCATAACAGAACGCGAAGACGATGCGGGCGATAGGTATATTGCCGTGTCGTACAAATGGCCTCAGGCTCGCCCCAAATCCGTCTCTAGCACTATGAACCCGCCTGTCTTCCGCTACCAGGTCAAACGACCAGGTAAAAAGTCCCACAAGAGTGAATTTTCGGACCATTATATGGACCGGGTTATTCGATATGCACAAAGTGTCAAGATGACGAAACTATGGGTGGATATAGAGTGCATATACCAAAGGCCAGAAGACAAGCGCACTTCGCCGAAAGACCAGGAGCTTGGTGTTCAAGCCATGGACATGGTTTACGGTGATAGCACACATTCTGTCGGCATACTAACTGTCGAGATCCAAGACCAACGCGAAATTGACATGCTCTCGAATCTGCTCTCCAGATCACTCTTTGTCCATCCCATAGACGAGGACGATCCAAAACTGCGACCTGAGGTCGATATCACTGCCGTGCAGATGCTGATTCTTCACATCCTCAGCGATCCCCGCTGGTCGCGCGGCTGGATCTTCCAAGAGGATCACCTTGCTTCTCAGAAGATGGAGTTGCTCATCCCATATAATCTGCGACTCGACAAGAGCGGTTTTGACAATCTTGGGAAAATACCAGGCGAGCTTCAGGTGAAGCTTAAGGATTTCCGACAGACTGTAACGTTATTTTGTCGAGCGTGTACTACGGGTGAAGTACGATGGCCCTGTACTGAGATCTTAGCAAAAGTGACGCAGTACAACATTTGCAACAAGGTCGTTCATAATTTGGAATTCGTATCGTCAATACAGCATGTTCCGCGTCCCTGGGATGTCGAATCGAGTTTTGGTAGTGAGGTTAGCAAGTCCAGCACGCAATCCGACCCCTCTAAGATCTACTCGTATCCAACCACGACTGCAAGCGTACTTGATGACATTAGCAGCCGCTGCTTAGAGAAAGAGTCGGATAGGATCCCAATACTCGCCAACGCTTTGAAGTGCAAAAAGCGACTCAATACAGGAGAGGGATCCCCCTTGGTCGAATCTGGGACCTACAGTCTTTCTGCCGCACTTCTCACCCTTATCTTGATAAACGGAGAAATATTCAAGAATGTCCCAGGGCTTCCAGTCACATGGCCTTTGCTCGATCGCTCATCTGAATTTCCTACTGAAGCCAACATTCTAAGCCACACTCTACCGTCGTACCTCAACGCTTGCCAATCTCTTTTTACCGCCCCGGGCCGGATACGTCATCAAACTTTTATCGATCGCTGTCGCTTCGTATCGCCAATCATCACGGGCCGTGGAATTGAGACAAGAGGATACCTTTTTGACTTGATATCCGACGAGCAATTGGATGATGAAGGGACTCGGTCTGATCTACTTCTTCTTTCAGAGTTAGACATGATGAATTTGTCGGCCCCAGAGCGGAAGACAGGAAGGCGCAAACTTGACGACGTTGCTTGCCAGGTGCTGGAAATACTTATGGACAGGCTGGAGAGATCGTGGCCGAATAGTAAGCTTGTCAGTCATATGCGCAAACATATCGAGTTGGATCAGCACCCGCCACGCCAAGGAGAAGGTTATGCATCTACATCTTATGTACTGGATAATATGTATGCGATCTATCGCGCTCTCGTAGACAAGAAGGAGCTTCGCCTGGCACAACTTGCGTCCGCGCGCTACGATGCAGAGCCGGTCGCTCTCTTCATCCAGCCTGGGCAGTATGTGGGAACCAGTCAGTCAACTGGTTATTTCCCTCACGAAGAACCAGTAAAGGTTTTTGCAAGCTTCGACAACGGCCGGCATGATTACGATAAAGAGCGGCTGGTGAGCCTGAAGGTTGAGGTGTGCGATGATACTGGCGTTACAAAAAACCGGGACCAACGGCATCGCTGTCTGAGAAACTTGGGTTGGGTCAATGGTATTTGGACTGTTCATGGCGAGAAGATGGAGACGTTTGTTTTTCCATTGCCGGGAATTACGAAAGAGGGTGGTGATGAACGAGAGGTGAAGAGCAATGCGGGAAAGAAGAGAAAGAGAGAAGACATAATGACTAGATGAGAGGATTCGTGTAATGTCCATGTCCACACGATGTATTTCAAGTGATCTACAAATAGCTAAACCACACCTTGGATGAGGTTCTTGATGCCTTCACCCCTTGACGTCTTCTCCCACGCTTCCGTCGCCTGCTCAAACGGAGTCACCGAACTGATAAGTGGCTTTACATCGACCAGCCTCTTTTCCAATAGCTGAATCGCCAAGTCATAGTCACCAGGCCCATACCGAAAACAACCCCTAACCATCAGTTCCTTCTGCGACATCACCACAATCGGAAACTCCACCTTCGCCTTTCCCAACCCCGTCTGCACAAACTTTCCTCCCGGCTTCAGCACCAAAATTCCCGACTCAATACTCTTCGCGGCACCCGAAACCTCAATAACCGTATCCACGCTCTCCTCCCCCAACCCAAACGTCTTGAACAACCTCTCCTTACTCTCCTCCGCGCTCTCCTCCCCCTTTGCAAGAAACGTCTCACACCCCAAATACCCCCTCGCAAACTCCAACTTCCTCTCCACAACATCCACAACAATAACCCGCATCGCACCAAATTGCTTCGCAACAGCCGCACAAAGCAACCCGACGGTACCACCCCCCATCACCACCACCGTCTCTCCAGCCCTCACATCGCCCAACCTAACACTATGCACCCCAACCGCCAACGGCTCCACCAACACCGCCTCATCCAGCCCTAACCCCTCAGGAACCTTGTACACCAAATCCTCAGGCAACACGTAGAATTTACACAGCGTCCCCTGCGTATCCGTCTCCTCCCCCGGCGCCGCCGCAAACCGCATCTTGCGACACAAATTATAGGACCCGGACTTGCAAGCGAGGCACAGGCGACAGGGGGCACCGGGTTCGAGGGCAACGCGGTCGCCCGGTGCGACGCGGGTTACGCCGGGGCCGACGGAGTGGATGGTGCCCGAGGCTTCGTGGCCCATTGTTATGCCTGTGAGGGGGTTGATGGGGGGGCCCAGGGAGGCGTGGTGCCAGAAGTGGACCTTTTTTTGGGTGTTAAGAAGGGGGAAGGGCTTTGGTGGGAAGGTGGAGAGGGAAGGGAAGGGAAAGGAGAGGGGGGAACATACATCACTACCACAAACACCAACATAATTTATCCTAATAACGACATCGTGAGGCGAAGAAAGTGTCGGGATAGGTCTATCTTCGAGTTTGGCGGTGTGAGGGGCGTACAGGACTATATTTGGGTTTTGCATTTTTTTTTTACAGAATATTTATCACAATGACCCCGTTGCTGGTGTTGATGGAAATCCCCTCCTTTTTTTTTCCAACTGGACTTTTGCAGCGAGATTTTTTTGGAAGATGATGATAAATGTAGTAGTAGTAATAGAAGGATCTGGGAAATAAAGGGAGGGGGGTTATCGAGAAGAAGAAGAGAAAAGAAAAGAAGAGACGTATTTGTAGCTCCTTTCCTTACACGCGTTTATCTCTTCCATATCAAAAAATTGCTGATCATACCTAATCTCACGCCTCCCCTCAAAGTCACACGCGGGGTCAGAAGGGGGGGGGGGGAAATGCAGACGCGTCTAACTTTTTCCCCGCACCCCGCTGTAGTGCTCGCCTTCGATCTCGCGCATATGCATATGCGCATAATCCCCGCCTCCCCCTTTGCTCCTCTCAAACCCCTCCCGCTACTTCTCCGCCTTCCCACCCTCATCTTTCCTCTCACTTTCTTCTCCTTCTTGCTTCTTCTTCTCCTCTTCCTTATCGCCAGACCCGCTACCTCCGCCGCGGTAGTGACTTCCTTCTTTTCCGGGCTGGAAAATCGTATTACCTTTTTTTCATTAGTACGAAAAAAAGCTTTAGTTGAGAGAGTAATTTATCCAAGGGTGACTTGGAGGGAAGGGGGGGGGGAAGGAGGAAAGGGAAAAGTGGCATACAAGAAGCGCAATGCGCCCATGCGCCGTCTTTTGTTAGGTCGGCGTTTGCGTCGCATTCTGGGCATTTGACCATTTTGGACTGTGTATATGTGTGCTATTTTTTCCCCTGGGGGTTTGAAGGAGGGGTATGAGGGACCAGAGGATTAGAGGAGTGGGTGGGGATTTTTTTGTAACAGTATGATTGGGAGGGACGTTGTGATAAGACGTTTGGTGTTGTGGTGTTAGTGGGGGGAGAGGGGCATGATGTCATAGACCAATCAGCGAGTATCGGGTAGGCATGCTGGGGTGGTGTAAGCACTAGGGTGTAAGGCTGGTCATATTTTCCGCAAGTTTGGATGACAGATTTATGAGTTAACTATGGAGGAGTATATTTAATCTGGCCGTGTGGATTGGGGGGCTGGGATAGCTGCTTCTGATAGAAAGACAACTCCGACGTTCTTGATCATAAAGTATTTTGGAAGCATATGTCGCGCGGATAAGCACTACGTACTGAGCTTGGTTCGGTCTATTTATTTTGTTCTGGATATAATAGTGATCCAATAGAGATCATCTGAGCTACTTTCACAAAGAGTTCTTCTTTTCATAAATGGTCAACTGGACTATAGCCTGAGCTTGTTCAAGATTCAATGTTGTCCGTGTAATGGCAAGGCTTATGAGCATAAGAAATCGAGCAACATTTGCACAATTCGCAAGCGAGGGTCGATGGTAGTCGATATAAACATGTTGCATATCGACTGGATGGCAAATGCGCTAAATTGAGCGTGACCCTGCGGCTACACCGGAGTACTACTAATAGTCCCACGCTCGGAAGAGCAGATCGACCGAGAATAAACTTGGCTCTATGCATCGGTTGTCTTGGCGAATTGCAACACGAGTCGTGTGTCGTGGAATCAACGGAGCAACGGATAAGCCCTAAAGAATCCAACTAGCTGGGTTTCACGGACTCACTAAATGGTGAGTTCGGACCGATGGTAGGATTTTCAGCACGCAGCGACAGATCCTCATACTTACGTAGTTGCGAAGACCCAGAGCGATCCGTGGGGTGATCGTGTTCATCTTGGCCAATGCGGCTCAAGGGAGAATTATCAATGGATCTGTCAGCTAGGACATGGCGTGAGAAAACGGTATGCGGACCTAAACTGTCGGACCGGAAGCCAGCCTTGCGGGTTTGACACCGCCTCCAAGGCCTAGACGTTGTAGCACTGTCTACACAAGACTTTTGGACGTAAATAAATGATCGTCTAATATCGTTCGCCTAGACTTCAGTTCATGTTACCAAGACTTGGAGATTAAGAGGCGAGAACTCTGCGCACTAAGCATCTACTAAAATGCATTCTAATGTAACATGCTTACGTCTGAATAGAGCCACGTGGGACCTTTCGTCTCTTCAGTATATGGTCACAAGATGATATAGGCGCACATGAGTTAAATGGCGCTCTATGTATGTGTCACAACTTCGACACGCTCACGAAAATGGTCAGTGAGATGGATACCCTGCCACTTGCGTCCAGTGATCAAAAACTGCAAGGTACATCTCACAAACATATTTCCGCAGAAAAATTCCGTCCAGACAGGCATGCGTTGTGACTGAATTTCGAGGTCCCTCAGGTGCCAATGGAGAAGGTTTTCTGTCGATGACAATGAATTTCAGGGAGAGCGGCAGCAGGACAACGAAATCCTCGGTGTTCCCATAGCTCGCCGTCTAGAGCATGGGCTTGGCGGAAGCGACCTATGAGATAGGCTCGTACTAGCAAGGATCTGCTATTTCTCCCCGTTTTCTTGCGCAAGTCCAGAAGCTCACCAGGGGTCACGATGTAGCAGTGCTACCAAGACGTATAGACTGGGGACTGGAAATGATCCCACATGGCATTTTACGCGAGATTCTACCCGAATATGAAAACAGAGCAGAAATGGCGTTTACTGATCACATTAACTGGTGTTTTACAAATCGTTTACTAAAGTCTTGGTATACGACCCATCCAATCAACATTACTAGCCCTTGGCAGGTACCTTTCGTAAGATTTACAGAGCGCTACTCCGCATCTAGCCCCCGTAGTGCGTACAAATGGCACTATAGGTAAATTTAAGCCTCTACTTAGCACGCTGGCGTATATTTTCCTCTTTAAAATTTTCGAAGTCCAGACCATCACCGCCTTATAATGTGTTGACTTTGTCTTGGAAAGGAAAGGCCAACGTCGATCGACAAGGTTGACCCCAATGCACTGTAGTGCTGTCTTCATAATGTTAACGTAACATCCCTGGCTGCGTAGCTTAGCGCCCGTTCAGGGTCCAGTCTGATAGGTTCCGGCTTGGCGGGAGACGGTCCGATGTCACGTGGGCCCTCGCGTGCGTATGCAAGTCATACTACAACATTTGCGTCTATTCAAGGAGGGACTGGTCCTGGTGTATGGCCAAACCGGACAAACCGTCAGAATGCTAATGGGTACGGGCCAAAATTCAGGGCAGTGTCGGGTGCACGTGCATGGACCGACGCCTACGCATGAACCAATCTCCAGGCATGGTGCGAGAGCCCTTTCTGGCTTTCCAAGGCCATCCTAGTGTCGATTGACAGCCAGAATACCTTCCCGAATAAGCGAAAAGCAAAATTTGCGTTTTCACTCCAAGACTGCTAGTGTTCATCGGCTATGGAAGTACTACTAACTGTTAGAATTGCGGCTCAACATATAGGGTCCGACGTATTACCCAAATAGGCTTAATCCCGGTCGCTCATAGATTCAGTTTCCAAGTACCCTCTTCTAGTTACCAACTTTTAGTCACCTTAGAAATCCAAAACAAAATCCTATAGCCTGTAGTTTGATTGCACTAATGTGCAACAATACTTGACACCGCAAGATGCTTGTACAGGAGACAAGCCTCACCGGTTTCAATGGATGTGGCTGAAAGTCCGTTATGGACCTCAAGCTAAGCCTTGACAATCTGGTATTGACTAACCGTTTTGGGCAGTTCCATGCGAGGTATACCATAGCTGCATATAGGACTACCCCGTATAGTTGCATTTACTATAGCTGCGTATACTGTACTTTGTGAGGCTTAGCGTCCCTCGTGTAAACGCTCTACACAGTATACGCGCAGGATGTAGGAGAGCCAATGGAGACTCCAAGACAATGTCTTGTTTTCGTAGCAGGCTGGGCAAATATATAAGTTAATGGTGGTTTGCAAATTAGAAGAGCATTATCAGCATCCAGCTTTGATCTACACTCGTTCTCAACACCCTCCCCTCTCTCCAGCCAGTTCGCTTTCCTCATTGCTTTTCGCAATAACCGGTTCGACACTCGAATCACACCAAGATGTCTCAAGCTATCAAAGGCCTATTGCTTGCCAGCTTGGCAGGGTCGGCTTTGAGTAGCACTATTCCTCGTGCTGCCTCACTACCTGTCGCCGATACAGTATTTGTAAATGGAGTTATCCACACTCTTGACAGCAAAAGCAACACCATCACCGCAGGCTCATTGGCCATCACAAATGGCACAATCACATGTGTCGGCAAAGAGGAGGACTGCAAGCCCGCCGTTGGAGCTTCAACCAAGGTGGTCAACCTGAACGGCAAATCAATGATCCCTGGCCTGATCGATGCCCACATCCACCCCCTTGATGCTGGCCGAGCAATGCTTGGATGTACTCTGCGCTTTCAACAACTTTCTCCCGAGGGCCTCCGCAAGATCATTCAGGCTTGCATTGACTCTCAGCCTGGTCAGACTGACCTTTTGACTGTCACCGAGTGGGATCGTGAGGGATTCACCACCCTGAACGGAGGAGCAAACAAGTCTATGCTCGACTCACTCAACACCACCCGGCCAATTGCTATCATCGCTTCCAGCCAGCACAACATCTTCGTCAATTCAAGAGCTCTTCAGCTCATTAATGCTACCCGTGACACCCCAAACCCTGCAGGCGGTAGGCTCGGACGCGACGCCAAGGGCGACCTCACTGGTATGCTCGAGGAGAACGCTGTAGTCCCCATCCGAATGCTCATGGGAGACCGTGGCATTGCCCAGCTGGACGCCGCCACTGCGGCGATCTCGCAGCTCCGCCGCAAGGGTATCACCAGCTTCTTGGACGCACTCCAGACGCCACACACAGCCTGGTCCAGCCTCAAGTCCACCAACGAACTGACTGCTCGTGTCTTCAACAACTTTGGTGTCTTTGGAAGCACTGACTTCCCTACAATCATCAGCCAAGCAGTGGCGAGTAGGAAGCAGTTGGACGAGAATCTCGTCGCCGCTCCAGGCCAACAGTGGCGCAACGTCAAGTTCTTCATTGATGGTATTCTGCCTTCTTCCTCAGAGTCCAGCTGGCTCCTCAATCCCTACCTCATTCAAGATTCCAAGGGCAACTGGGTCCCAGGCAACCACTTCGGTCTTCCCAACACCAACCAAACCGAGCTCCAGAAACTCCTCACGTTGACCCTGGACAACGGACTGGGTCTCCACGTCCACGCCAGCGGTGACCGCGCCGTCCGCACCATTCTCGACATCGCCACCAGCATGAACCGCACCTTTGCCCCCCACGACATCGGCATTGCCCACGCCGAGCTCGTCGCCGCCGAAGACCGCAAACGCTTCCAGGAACTCGGCATCCCCGTCATCGCCTCGTACCAATGGGCGCAGAAAGCCACCTACTGGGCGGGCGACAACTCCCTCGTCCTCGGCACTGACCGCCTGGCCGTCGCTCAATCCTCCGGTCTCCTCAACGAGGCCGGCGCCCTCGTCGCATACGGTTCCGACTGGCCCGTCGACCCTCTCGACCCCTTCCTCGCCCTCGCCATCGGCGTCACCCGCGCTGGCGACCCCCAGAACAAGAACGCCCATGCTAGCTTCGGTCCCCAGTTCGTCGGCCGTCTCGATCAGCAACCCGCTCTCTCCCGTGAGGCTGCTCTCAGGGGTATGACTACCGTCGCTGCCACCTACCTGAACAGCTCCGCCAGCATCGGATCGCTCGAGCCCGGCAAGTTTGCTGACTTGCTCATCCTCGACAAGGACTACTTCGACACCGCTGCTGTGCCTGATGATGCGCTCTCCAGGAACAAGGTTCTCATGACTATGGTTGGTGGCC